AAAAAAAAAAAAAAAAAAAAAAAAGTTTTATAATTGGAAAATTAATTATAATATAATTTAGTCAAAATTAAATTTTAACTGATCATATCATTTTTCTTTAAAATTCTATCAACTCTATATTATTTATAATTTATTTGTAACCACCGAGATCTCGCCCAGCAAATATTGTCCTCTTTGGACTTTCCCTTAAGGTTTTAAAACATGTCTGCTAGGGGAACGTTTCCACACCTTTATAAATGGTGGTTTGTTCTCCTCCCTAACCAATGTGGGACATCACAATCCACTCCTCTTCGGGGCCAGCGTCCTCGCTGACACTCTTTTTTTCCTCCAATCGATTGAGACCGCCCCCAAATCCATCCCCTTTGGGGCCCAGCATTCTTACTGACACACCGCCTCATGTCTAACCCCCCCTTCAGAGAACAACGAGAAGGCTGGCACATCGTCTGGTGTCTGGCTTTGATACCATTTGTAATGACTCAGATCCACCGCTAGCAGATATTGTCCTCTCTAGGCTTTCCCTTACGGGCTTCCCCTCAAGGCTTTAAAACGCGTTCGCCGGGGGAAGGTTTCCACACCCTTGTAAATAGTGGTTTGTTCTCCTCCCCAACCAAACCACCATTTAAATCTGGGTCGTTACATTATTGAACATAATATTATAATATTTTTTTTGTAACGAGTTTTTTTTTTAATGAAAACCTACCTCGAGTTGAAGTTTAAAATTGTAACAGTTATTTCTTATAAGAGTGTGGAAACCTCTCCATACTAACGTGTTTTAGAATTGTGAAGTTGACGGCAATACGTAACGGGCCAAAAGCGGACAATATCTGCTAGCAATGGGCTTTGACTCTAACAAATGGTATCAAAGCAAGCACCGAGCAATGTGCCAACGAAGATGCTAGACTCCCGGGGGGGAGGGAGGGAGGTAGATTGTGAGATCTCACATCGATTAGAGAAGAGAACAAAGCATTCCTTATAAGGGTGTGAAAACCTTTCGCAATAGATGTGTTTTAAAACAGTGAGGATACTCGACTCCTAAGAGAGGTGGATTATGCGATCTCCACATCGGTTGGAGAGGGAAAGGACCTTATAAGGGAGTGGAAACCTCTCCACAGTACACGCATTTTAAAACCGTGAAGCTAACGGCTATACGTAACGAACTAATATAGACAATATCTGCTAGTAGTGGGCTTGAATTGTTACATACTGTTCTTATGCATGCATTTTAAATTCGTGAGGCTGACGGCTATACGTAATAAGCTAAATACCGAAAAAAATGGTTAAAATTCGGTAGAAATCGAGATGGTGGGTTGAGGGTCCTAAGTAAAGGTTTGAAGAACTAAAAAGCTGCAACCCCCACGTGTGAAAAATTCACAATTTAAACACTTTTCTTTTTTGGTGCCAAACAAGCTAAGAAGAAGAAGAAAGAGGTAAAGTAAAGCAAACGTTGCATGTGAATTAAGTAAGTCCCAAGCAAGGTTTTAAATATGCACCTAATACAACAATCGACCGCTTCGAAATTATTCTTACAATTTATCTTTTTTGGAGGCTAACGTTTTTGTTCCCTTCTCTAAACGATGTGTGATCTCACAATCTACTCCCCTTTATCACCTTGGCACACCCTCGTTCCCCTCCCCAAAAGATGTGAGGTCTCACAATCCACTCCTCTTGAATGTCCAGTGTTTGTCCAGTATTGTTGCTGGTCCTCGTTTCCCTCTCCAAACGATGTGAGATCTCACAATCCACTCCCCCTTGAGTACCTTAGCACAACACTCGGGTTTTCGTTCCACCCTCAAAACGATGTGGGGTCTTACAATCCAATCCCCTTAAGTGCCCACCCTATGCCCAATGTCCTCACTAGCACACCACCCAGTGTCTGACTCTGATACCATTTGTAATATTTCAAACTCACTGCTAATAGATATTGTTCTTTTTGGGTATTCCCTCTTGACTTCCGCTCAAGGTTTTTAAAACGTGTATACTGTAGAGATATTTCTACATCTTTAAAAGGAATGTTTTGTTCCCCTCTTGTACCGATGTGGGATCTTACTAGTATTTTGTTTCTTTTATTTCTTAATCTCTAAAACTTCCCCGATTTCTTCTCTTTTTTTTCTCTTCTTAAATGTAAGACCGATCCTGAAAATATGATGACTAAGAAAGGCTTTAAATAAATGAAAGTTACTGTTTATACCAATAAGGCGCACCATCCTTTTTGGTAGCTCAATCATAAGAACTCCATAGATAAACATGTTTTCGTCTCATAAACCAAGTACGATAGGTCGAAAGGGTTCGATAGAAGGGACTTTTTCAACTTTCTGCTCACTTTTTTGTTTCCGAGAGGTGTATGGATTGGATTGCACTCGGCTCGTGCACAGCCAGTCCCATTGTAATATATAATGTAGCTATGAAGTCTTTGTCTTATAACTAAGAGTTTGTTTTCAAAATCCTTTGAGCATGATTTTGATTTGCCCTCACGTGTCCAACAAAAGTGTAAGTAGCTATCAAATTTTGTTGGTGACCATGCAATGCTTCTCTAAGAAACCTCATTGATAATAACAATTTTTTTTTTATGTATACCCTAATACGACTCCGAACATACGTATTGATAATTTCTGTATGGATTAAGAGGAAATTTTTGTGTATACCCTTATAACGATCCATGCCCAAAATTGAGAATCCGAATTTGACACCCGATGACCTTGGCATTACCCTACTCCTCGCTTTTGAAGAGTGAAAACTATCCCGCAACCCAACAAATCGTAAAAGTAAGGTATGGTTAGGTTGGACTGTAACCCTATTTTCGGGTTGATATGATTGACTCGATTAAAAAAATGTGAACCCGTGAATTGACCCGAATTTTTAGTTTTTTAAAAATTAAACCCGACCCAACTTTTATGGTTTGGGTTGGATAATCTGGGTTGGTCGGATTATATTACATTGTATTGATCTGTTTGAATAATCTCGAAGACGGTAGGGGCATATGCGTAAATTTACGTAGATGAAAATAAAATGAAAGGGTAATGCAATTGAAATGAAAAGTAGATAATAGAATAGAAGATGCAGCGTGAAGCATGTGCCTAACTCACGTCATCCGTCACGCTGGGTTAGTTTGTTACCACACATGCATAACCCCACTTCACGTTCCTTTTTGTTATATTATTTTTTTAATCACTATTTATTTTTATTTTTTTCTCCTTCATATATGTTTAATTATTAATATTTTTGCTAACGGATTAATTAAAATTTTCTAAATAATAAAAAATAAATTGAAAATGTATTCCAATATTACCGACTTAAATATATATTTAATTACCTTAATATTTACTAGTAGTGGACTTCGACTATTATAGATGGTATCAGAGCCAAACATCAAGTGGTGTGTCAGCAAGGACGCTAAGCCAAGAAAGAGAGTGGACACCGAACAGTATGCCAGCGGGGACGTTGGTTTCTAAAGAGGGTGGATTGTGAGATCCCACATCGATGGGAGAGAGGAACGAGTGTCAGCGAGGATACCAGGTCCCAAAGGTGAGTGAATTGTGAGATCCCACATCGGTTGGAGAGGAGAACGGGCTCCGAAGAGAGGTGGATTGTGAGATCTCACATCAATTGAAGAGGAGAACGAAAATTTTTTTTATAAAGGTGTGGAAACCTCTCCCTAGCAACACCCATCCGTTTTCAATTGTAAATGCAACTCTTTTTCTATAAAAACAAATAAAAAATAAATAATTGTATGACGTCACCATGATTATTTTAAGGAAATTAATAATCTTGCCCCCGAATGTCGATAATTTCGCAATGGCCCCATCCAGCTGTTGGTGGGAGTTACCTGTCTCCCTCTAATGGCGCTTCTTAAGTTACCTTTTTCCAAATTTAAAATCAATTTCTTATCATTATTATTTATTTCCATTAAATTATATTTTATTAATGTTTTTTTTTTATTTTTATTCTAAATTTTTAATTTCATCGAATTAAAATTAATAAAAAAATTAATTTCTACCGCAAAACTTGACTAATTATAATATTTTTTTCGTAACTAAGGAATTATGAAGATAATACGTCTTTCAAATCTTAGAATGATTTCTAGGTTCACGAATCTCGAACCTTCTAAGTATTTTTACTGTTAATGGTAGGGTGCAATTAAATGTAGATATCATGAACGGGATGAGCAAGATATCAAGTTGAGAAATCTCGGCAAGTCCATCACTTCAACTAAATTTCTTTCTTTCAAATAAGTTGATTTTTAATATAAAATCGCCTCTAATATTATTACATAAATTTTAAACTTTTAAGAACAGTAACAATTTAAAATTTTTCTAAATAAAAAAGATTAATTTTCAATCTATTAGATTCATTAAAAAAGTCTTCAATTTTATTAGATATGAATTGAAAAATTAAAAAAAATTAAAAATTATAATTGGAACAAATTAAAGCTAAATTATAAAATAAATATATAAAAAAACCCACTAAAATTTATCATTTTTAAAATTTTGTAATATTATTCTTAATCTTTGGTAAATATTTTAAAATTATAGAATAAAAATTTAATGATAATATTATGATTTTTTTAAAAAAATAAAAGTATTTTTATTATATAGAAAGCACAAAATCTGGAATATTTTTATAATTTAGCAAAAAATTATTTTAAAATAGAGAATATTTGAATTAATTGAGATGGGAGAAGGGGCAATTTTGTAATATCATAAAAGTCCAAGGGATAATACCGGCGGGGATTTCGGTTTGAATAATTTGTTATAAAAACAAATAACTAAAAAAAAAAGGATTAATAAGCTTAGCTTTTTATGATTTTGTCCGTTTTTAACGGTCGGAAGCAAAAATTAACGGTATTACAAAACGGAGCCTTTTTTCTTACTTTTTATATTCAACGCCGTTAAGCCACACCGTCTAATGCCGTCCGCCGATTTTGGAACCGGCCGTCTGCCGATTTTCAAACTCCTCGTAACGTCTTTTAAATATTTTATTTTCCCAAATTTCCATTATTTATTTTTAAAAAAAAAAACGATATAATTTTTTTTTATTTTTTTATTTTTCATATCCAACTACTGATCCACACTCCATCTTCTTCTTCCTCACACCTCCCTCCATCTCTCTCTCTCTCTCTCTCCAGCCATTGAACGAATCCTCCAAATCCAATTCGTTTTCTTCATCTTCAGTCAGTGTTCTTCACTTTCTCTCTCCAAAATCATCGCCATTGATTCAGAATCTTATTCTCTTGGGCGTTCGAACCAACTCTTCCTTTGCCCGGCCATTGATTCACTGTGTTTTTCTCTTGTGTTTCATCTTCGTTTGGGGTACTTTTTTGTTTCATCTCCTTCTTCTTCGCCTCTTTCTGATTTGATCACAGGATTTCCGGGTTCGTTTCCGTCATTTTCGATCCAGCTCAGATTCAGCCCCTTTTTTTTTTGTCTGACTCTGTTTCAGTAATCTTTCCTAAGCCGTACTTTTTTACAGTGTTCTTTTCGTTTATGTTCTTGTGTTATTGTGAATGTGAATGTAAATGTAGGAGGTTGAGTTTGAGATTGTTTAGCTGAAGTGATGGCGGTGGAGCTTCATTAGTTAGTGGAGCTTCTGATTCCGCTTAATTTTGGGTTTCTGTACTTATAATTATCGGCATTGCTATTCAACTTGAGGTTGATCGGATTATTGTCTTATGCTTGGTAAACTTAGTACGAGTTTTGCTGACTGTGTTCTTCCTGGTTTTCAAAGGTTTGAGATCCAAAGGACGGTTGTTTTGCGATGGAATCAGCGCAATCGCAGCAGAGAAAAGGAGGATTAGTGCCGATATCGCCATCTCAAACTCCTCGTTCCAACGACAAGGCGGCTCGAGATCTACGATCTGGGGATTCGAATTTGAGTAATAAGCATGATAAAGAAAAGGGTGTTAATGTGCAGGTTATTGTGCGTTGCAGGTGATTAAATGCGGAGAATCTGTTGATTTATTGTCATAATTTTTTTTGTTTCTGATTTGGGAATTGTTTCCTCTTTAGGCCATTGAGTGACGATGAAAGTCGATTGCATACTCCGGTGGTGGTATCCTGCCATGAAAGTAGAAGAGAAGTCTCTGCAATCCAGACTATAGCCAACAAGCAGATTGATAGAACATTTGCATTTGATAAGGTTTCCTGTTCACCTTTTTCAATTAATGGATTTGCTCATTCTGCTGAACAACTTTCTTTAACAGATTAGCTTTGTGTTTCTATGTTTAAACTAGCTAATCTTTGGTCGTGTTCTTACTTAATTAAGCTCAATTTTCATGGGTTCAGCTGATATTGAAAATTCTTTTAATGTTCATTGATTTCCTTTCCTTTAATGTTTGATTATATGGTATAGGTGTTTGGCCCTGCATCTCAACAAAGGGAATTGTATGAACTGGCTGTGTCTCCTATTGTATATGAAGTTCTTGAGGGTTATAACTGTACTATCTTCGCGTATGGTCAAACAGGAACTGGAAAAACATACACCATGGAAGGTGGAGCAAGGAAAAAGGTTGATTGACCCACCTAAGTTTCTTTGTATTTCTTCTATTTCAATGTCTAATTGACTTTATTGCTAAACCCAGAATGGAGAATTTCCAAGCGATGCTGGTGTAATTCCTAGAGCTGTGAAACAAATTTTTGATATTTTGGAATCCCAAAATGCGGAGTATAACATGAAAGTTACGTTTCTGGAGCTATACAATGAAGAGATTACAGATCTTTTGGCCCCTGAAGAGACTTCAAAGTTTATTGATGAGAAGTCCAAGAAACCAATTGCTCTCATGGAAGATGGAAAAGGGGGTGTTTTTGTGAGAGGTTTGGAAGAAGAGATAGTCTGTTCTGCAAATGAAATATATAAAATCTTGGAGCGGGGATCGGCGAAAAGGCGTACGGCAGAGACGCTTCTGAATAAACAAAGCAGTCGGTCCCATTCCATATTTTCCATCACAATTCACATTAAAGAGTGCACTCCAGAGGGAGAGGAGATGATAAAATGTGGAAAGCTCAATCTTGTTGATCTTGCTGGCTCAGAGAATATTTCACGTTCTGGTGCACGAGAGGTGTTGTATACTTAACACTTTTGTTTATATCACCAGGCCATGAATGATACTGAATGTACAATTAAAGCTGAAATTTCACTTGAGAAGTTCTTCCACAAGTTCTTGATTATACTTCAAATATATTTGCAGGGTAGAGCAAGAGAAGCTGGGGAGATAAACAAAAGTTTGCTGACACTTGGGCGTGTTATCAATGCCCTGGTAGAGCACTCGGGTCATGTTCCATATAGGTAAGAATCATTTCTATTTTAGTTCATTTTGTCTTTGATGAAAGGAGGGATGATGAAGTTAACAGTGTTAATGGAATGATTGAATGTCAGGGATAGTAAATTAACAAGATTACTGAGGGATTCGTTGGGAGGTAAAACAAAGACTTGCATCATTGCTACAATATCACCCTCTATCCACTGTCTGGAAGAAACACTCAGTACGCTTGATTATGCACACCGTGCCAAAAACATAAAGAACAAACCAGAGGTTCAGTACTTGTTGCTTACACATTTTCAGTTGTTTATGTTCATTTTTTTGGTTTGATCCATCATACTGCTTTCCTCCCTCCTCTTATGCATATTTTAACTGGCTCCTGATCATTCAGATTAACCAGAAGATGATGAAATCTGCTTTGATCAAAGATTTATATTCTGAAATTGATCGGCTTAAACAAGGTATTTACTGTGCATCTCTCTCTCTCTCATTATTTGAAACAAGTCATGTAATGGTCCAAACCCACCACTAGCAAATATTGTCCTCTTTAAGCATTCCCTTTCGGGCTTCCTCTCAAGGTTTTTAAAATGCGTCTGCTAGGAAAAGGTTTCCATACCCTTTCTTAAAGAATGTTTCATTCTCCTCCCCAATTGATGTTGGATTTCACAATCCACCCCCTTCGGGGCCAACGTTCTCGCTGGCACTCGTTCCCTTCTCTAGTCGATGTGGGACCCCCCAATCCACCCCCATTAGGCCCAGCTTCCTTGTTAGCACACCACCTCGTGTCCACCCCTTCGGGGCTTAGTCTCCTCGCTGGCACATTGCCCGGTGTCTGGTTCTGATACCATTTGTAATGGCTCAAGCCCACCAATAATAGATATTGTCCTCTTTGGGCTTTCCCTTTCGGGCATCCCCTCAAGGTTTTTAAAACGTGTCTGCCTCTTTCCACACCTTTCCTTATAAAAAATGTTTCGTTCTCCTCTCCAACCGACGTGAGATCTCACATTTATGTTCCCTTTTCCCTTTATTGGGCATTTAGCTTCTGAAAATTATCTTAACTTTTCTATATTACAGAGGTATATGCCGCAAGGGAGAAGAATGGAATCTATATACCACGTGATCGTTACCTTAATGAGGAAGCTGAGAAGAAGGTTAGTTTTTGGACTATTTTGGATTTTAGGAAAATTTTTGGCCGTGTTATTCATATTAATCATATCATGTTCATAAATTTTTAACCCCAGGCTATGGCTGAAAAAATAGAACGAATGGAACTCGATTCAGAATCGAAGGACAAGGTGTGCTGACAATCGGCTAGATTTTATTTCTGGAGGTTCCATTCATATTGCTTATTTGGAACCCTAATAGTTTTCTACTTATGAGCAGCAAGTGATGGAGCTTCAGGAGCTTTATGATTCTCAGCAACTTTTGACAGAAGAATTAAGCGGTAAATTAGATAGAACAGAGGTATATCCATGAGCTGGACTATCATATCATCGTTCAGTAGAACAATATGCCTCACTTTTTTGGAAAATGGTCCTCATAACTGTTGTTGTATGTAACTCCAGAAAAACCTCGAGGAAACTGAACATGCTTTCTTCGATCTTGAGGAGAAACACCGCCAAGCAAATGCAACAATAAAAGAAAAGGAATTTCTGATAGTTAATCTTCTCAAGTCTGGTAAGAAAAGTTCTTTCTTACCTTGTTTTTCTTGAAATAAGTTAATATTTCTCAAACTTTTTACTCTCTGTTCTTAGATTTCCTTTGTAGATGTTAGACTTCTTAGTCTCTCACTTTTTGACTTTATGTATGACTGTTGTGCTTTGTCAATTCCTACAGAGAAAGCACTTATTGAGCGTGCATTTGAGTTGCGAGCAGAGCTGGAAAATGCTGCATCAGATGTGTCGGGTTTATTTGACAAAATTGGTTAGTTTAGACTTAGTGTCTTCTAAGCTTACCTTTCTTTTCCCATATAGTAGATTCAGAAGTAATGATTATCCTGATTATCATCTGGTCTTTCCAGAGCGCAAGGATAAAATTGAAGATAGAAACAAATTACTTGTCAAGAAATTCCAATTTCAATTAACACAGCAGCTGGAGTTATTGCATAAAACTGTAGCTGCTTCAGTTACCCAACAAGAACAGCAACTGAGGGACATGGAGGAAGACATGCAATCTTTTGTTTCAACAAAGGCTAAGGTAAGCTTTGACTAATACCATTTCTTGACTGGACTTGCTCATGCTATCTCCATATAATTTTCATTCTGCTTCTGAAGGCTACTGAAGAACTTAGAGAACGGATTGGGAATCTGAAAGAAACGTGTGGTTCTCGAGTTAAAGCTCTGAATGATATAACTGGAGAGCTTGAAGGAAACTTTCAATCAACATTTGGTGATATAAATTCTGAAGTTTCAAAGCATTCATCTGCTCTTGAAAACGTAAGCATTTGATTCCTCTATTTTGGTCGACAAACTTTCTCCTTGGACTGATTTTGGTCGATTCAGCTTTTCAATGGTGTTGCTTCAGAAGCTGAGGCATTGCTCAGTGATCTTCAAAATAGCCTTCACAAGCAGGAAGAGAAGCTGACTGCATATGCTCAAAAGCAGCATCAGGTTTTTGATAAATAACACTTCTTTATGTTGACAATTTTAACGATATTTCGAAAACTGCTTGACTTATGAGGATTCATGTAGGCACATGCTAGAGCAGTGGAAACCACACGCTCAGTTTCCAAAATTACCTCAAACTTCATAGAGACTATGGATATGCATGCGTCGAAGCTCACCCACATTGTGGAAGATGCGCAATCAGTCAATGAACAGAAATTGTCCGAACTTGAAAAGAAATTTGAGGTAAATGCAGAAGACTTTATAATAGATTTAATACTTACTGGAGTCTGGTATTGAGCTTCAAATCATTTGGAATCTACAGGAGTGTGCTGCCAATGAAGAAAAACAACTGCTGGCAAAAGTGGCTGAGTTGCTAGCAAGTTCAAACGCGAGAAAGAAACAATTGGTATAACTTTAGTTTGTAACTAAATTGTTGAGGATTGTTAGGAGGGAGTCCCACGTTGGCTAATTTAGGCAATGATCATAAGTTTATAAGTAAGAAATACATCTCCATTGGTTTGAGGCCTTTTGGGGAAACGAAAAGCAAAGCTATGAGAGCTTATGCTCAAAGTGGACAATATCATGTTATTGTGGAGATCTGTGATTCCTAACATGATATTAGAGCCATGCCCTTAACTTAGCCATGACAATAGAATCCTCAAATGTCGAACAAAAAAGTTGTGAGCCTCGAAGGTGTAGTAAAAAAGTGACTCAGGTGTTGAACAAATGGTGTACTTTGTTCGAGGGCTCTTAAGGAGTTAAGCCTCGATTAAAGGGAAGCTATTCGAGGGCTCCATAGGCCTCAAGAGAGGATCTATGTTGTACTTTGTTTGAGGGGAGAATTGTTGAGGATTGTTGGGAGGGAGTCCCACGTTGGCTAAAGGAATGATCATAAATTTATAAGTAAAGAATACATCTCTATTGGTACGAGGTCTTTTGGGGAAAAACCTAAAGTAAAACTATGAGAGCTTCTGCTCAAAGTGGACAATATCATACCATTGTGGAAAGTCGTTATTCCTAACATAAATGGCATGCTGGAATGTACACAGCTTCTTTTGGGGTCTAAAAGGTTAATGGTTCATTTTCATAGGTTCAAACAGCAATCAGTGACCTGCGGGAGAGTGCTACAAGCAAAACCAACATGCTGCAGCAGGAGATGTCCACCATGCAGGAGTGTACTTCTTCAGTGAAAACTGAATGGGCGTTGCACCTGGAAAAAGCAGAGTCACACTACCACGAAGATACTTCTGCTGTTGAACACGGAAAGAGAGACATGGAGGAGGTTTTTCAAAATTGGTACGATCTAATTCAGCTAACTTATTTTGCTTGCAAATACTTTGTTGTTTGCCTCTCCAGTTAATAGGTGTTATCTGAATTGTTTAGCTTGAACAAGGCAAAAATGGGTGCTCAACAATGGAGGACTGCTCAAGAATCCTTACTCAGTTTGGAAAACAACAGTGTTGCTTCTGTGGACTCCATTTTTCGGTACATTTTTCGATACACTATTGATCTATGAAGAAATAAATGTTGTATTATGTTCAAGATCAGTCATTACTCTCTTATTTTTGTTAGAAATGGAATGGAATCGAATCAAGCGCTACGTTCTCGATTTTCCTCCTCTGCATCTGCTGCTCTTGAAGATGTTGATAATGCAAACAAGAACCTCCTCTCATCTATTGATCGTAAGTGTCCTACTTTATAGTAACATCCATCTTTTTTCTATCATCCCATTGACTTATGAATCGTTGACTCGTGCAGATTCGTTAGAACTCGACAACGAAGCATGTGGAAATCTCAATTCAATGATTACTCCTTGTTGTGAGGAGCTAAGAGATTTGAAAGGTGGCCACTACCACAAGATAGTAGAGATCACAGAACATGCAGGAACATGTCTGCTGACAGATTACACGGTAGATAACCATCACAAACTGATACTATCCATTCTTGTCAGCTTAGTTAGTTACTTCCTTCATATTGAATTACTGGACCAGGTTGATGAACCATCATGTTCAACACCAAGAAAGCGACCATTCAACTTGCCAAGCATGGCATCGATCGAAGAACTTCGAACACCGGCGTTTGATGAGCTTCTCAAGTCATTCTGGGATTTGAAATATTCAAAGCAATCAAATGGAGATGTAAAACATTTAGCAGGAGCACATGAAGCCACACAATCAGTAAGAGACTCTAGACTTCCTCTCACTGCTATAAATTAAGACTCATATATGTCTTGAAAAGATAATAGAGAAGAGACTGGAGATCTGTATGTATATATATATAGGCTCATGTATGTCTTTGAGGGCAGTACTGCATTCATTAATTTTTTTTCTTCTTCTTCCACTTTTTCTTAGCAAAAATGAGAAGAAATATACCTTTTGAAGGCAGGAAATCAGGTTTTCCCCCAATTTAGTAACTAGTTTGTGCTACTTACCGGTTGATAATGTGTTCTTTGTTTAGAAAAATATACATGTTCTTCCACATCCTTCACGGATCCATTATTATTTTCTTCCACTTATTTTTTCCAGAAGCAGCTTGCCCTAAGATATGTTGTAGATTACACTGATTTTGCTCCACACTTGTGTTTGGTTTCAATTTGGAACCTATGATGTTAAGAATTTTGATTTGGTTTATATTAGTTTGGTTGGTTATATCTTCCAAAAAACCGAAACCCTTATATTGGTCTGTCGAAGCACGCGTGCGAAAAACTAAGTGAAGATTGATATTTTTTGACATTGTTGTGAGGATTGTTGAAATTCAATGATTTCAACTCGTACGAATGGCAACCAACACCCAAAAAAGGTTTCACTCTAGCCAATTTTTGTTCGGCCGATGTCGAGGTATAGTTAGCGGCTCTTCTCTTGCGTTCTAGGGCAGTTCTCAAAAGCTATTTTCTCTTTTCGTTATCTCAATATTCCCTAAGAAACAGTACAAGGACTGCACTGTACGTACGGGCTTCTTTATCATCCTTATCATATGTCAACAATTTTCTCGTACGGGCTTCTTTATCATCCTTATTATATGTCAACAATTTTCTAATGTGAAACGTTTTCTTGCAAACTTTGCCATTTATTTTGAAAGTACTCTTACTCTTTCAAAGTTACAATATTGCCTTTGATTTTCATAGACGTTTCAAAACTACTATTTGAAAGAGTGGGATTTTATGTCCAAGTTGGCATAAGGAATGCTAAACACGTTATTGCACAACGATTCCCACAAGAAGAATGTGAAAGTATTTATACAATATAGCAAGTGATAAATATATTGTCGTTTTTTTCATGGCATCGTTAAACTCTTTTATTTTCTTTATCTCATTTCTAAACTTCCATTTTAAGACTCGCCTAAAGAAATTTTACAGACTCCGTAAGTCATACTCAACAAGAGTTAACGTTGATTTGGACAATCGGTTCTCTCTCATTCTTTCCAAAACAAAAGAAACAATACCAAGCATAACTCATGCTTTACGATTAGAATGCGGGATATGCATTTATGGATACATGAATTTGCAGTATACATGCACATGAGAGATCCATGTACATGATTAATAATTGACGAGTCATGAAAGTTATCAATTTGATATATACATGTATTAGATTATTCATGTATCATCAAAATGATAGTAGATTCGTTATTTAATATTTGATACATGTATGACTATGAAAAATGCTCCCAAAGGCATCGTCTGAGTTTGATTTCATCGAGGAAGTTATAAAAGTGATAAAGTAACTTAGAAGAACGGTTCATACAATGTAACCAAGTCATGGGAGAGTACTTATTCAACAAATGTAATGAAATATCAAAGCTCGGTTCTCGATAAACTAGATGAGGACCTCAAGTATCATAATAAACTAATTCAAAGAGAGAACTTGCTCGTTTAGCAACTCTAGAGCTCAAGCTAAGATGATGACAATTGAAAAACTGATACGAGTCACTATTTAATGAAGATAAATTATGACTTTCTTAGTACCGAGAGAGATGGGTGACTAAGACGACGATGAGCATCGACGGGAGAAACGACTCTTGGTACATAAAAACTTTTATTTATTTATTTATTTATAAACATTTGTGTTTAAGCTAATTTCAGCAATATTCCAACCTAAAAAGGGTATTTACCTAATTACCCCTGATAAAATGTTACATTAGAGAAACTATATTATCGGTGTTCGGGTATTTTGGTCATTTTGCTCAGCCCTATTGTGGTCGACTCGTTCAATAATCTGTCCCCAAGAAGCCCTCTTTGTTTCTCTTCCGACGGAAATTCAGCCGTGAAGCTTATGTCACCATGATTTCCATTCTCGCTCAGGTAGCCAAGCTTCCTTGCTCCGATGAACTTTCAGGCCTGATTCGATTTCCTTACCGATTTTTGGTGCGGTTTTATCTCACTTTCTTTTTATTTTTGGTGGTTTAATTGCAGGAGCGACTGCTTGGTGCTGCATTAGGGAGCGTGTTCGCCGGGGTTGTTGTTTTTGAGCAACGGAAAAGCATATACAACTCCATTTCGAAAAACTATCCACCAACTACTCAATCTCCGGTAAGCGTAAATTTCCCTTTCTGTATACGTAATGACCAAACTTTCCTTGTATGTGTTTGACCATTGATTTTAGACAATTACGATGGTCCTGAATTGAAATATGTGTGAAAATGTTGATCTATGAACATTTTGGGAATAAGGGGAGAATGAGATGAATGAAATTGTCTAATTTTTCTAAATTAGTTTTACTTTTATAAATGTCTTGACAATAATATTGATCTAATTATGGGTTGATTTATATCATTTTTATGTTTTTCTTTGTATATCAACTAGTTTTGCCTTTTTAAGTTGGAATATTGCTGAAATTTATTGAGATTTTATACAAACTTCGTATCAATGTCGACAATAATATAATGTAACAACTCAAGCCCACTGCAAGCGGATATTATTTTCATTGGGCTTTTATTTTTGGGCTTCCCCTTAAGGTTTTTAAAACGTGTCTACTGCTAGGGAGAGATTTCCACACCCTAGGGAATGCTTTGATCCCCTCTCCAACCGATGTAGCAATCCACCGCCTTGGGAGCCAACATTCTCGCTGGCACACCACCACCTTGGGGGCCAACATCCTCGCTGGCACACCACCTGGTGTTTGGCTCTCATACCATTTCTAACAAGTCAAACACCAGGCTATGTGTCAGTGAGGAGGCTGAGCTCCAAAGGGGAGTGGACATGAGACACAGTAAGGATGCTGGGCCACGAAGAGGGGTAGATTAGGGGGTCCCACATCGATTGGAGAAGGGAACGAGTGCCAACGAGGACACTGGGCCCTGAAGGGGGGAGGTGGATTGTGAGATCAGTGAGGAGGCTGAGCTCCAAAGGGGAGTGGACATGAGACACAGTAAGGATGCTGGGCCACGAAAAGGGGTGGATTAGGGGGTCCCACATCGATTGGAGAAGGGAACGAGTGCCAACGAGGACACTGGGCCCTGAAGGGGGGGGGGGAGGTGGATTGTGAGATCCCATCTTGGTAGGGGAATGAAACATTCTTTATAAGGGTGTGGAAACCTCTCCTTAGCAGATACGTTTTAAAAACCTTGAGGGGAATCCCGAAAGGATGACAATATCTGCTAGCGGTGGGCTTGGGCTGTTACAATAAATGTTGAATTCGTCAATGCAAGTTCTACTGTCTCTGAATTTATACTACCATCTAGCAGCTAATCCATTAATCTAATAGCATCCTCTTTGAAACTACTTTAGATGAGAAAACCTGTACTAGCAAAGAAATATGGCCCAGAGTTTTCGCACCTATGGAATAGCGCTGTAGACCAGACATTTGGGCCTGTGATTCAGGCTCTCAGTTCACGGGGATGGTGATGCGTTGTGAATGGTTCCGTTAGCAATGTATTTAAGCATCAATTCATGAAACATGTAAGGAAACAGAATTTTATTTCTATTTTTAACATTCTAGATTATCAAAGAATTGATGTTATGACTGTGGAACAAAGCCACGAGTATGAAGGCCTTTAAAGCAATAAAAACAAATTTTCTTTATTGCTAAACTGTATTTTCGTTTTTCCCATGTATTTCGATGAGAAGCCATGTGTTTAAATTTGTGGACTGCCAGCTCTGAACCCATCCTTTAGTTATCTTCTCTCCCTCCCCCTCAGCCCCTATGTAGTCTTGCATTTCTTTAGAATCTGTGTATTCAAAATGGAATATCTGCACGAGTAATTTACCAACGTGTTGCATATTTACATGATGCATCAAGATCGAAGAATTCTCATGCAATATGAAAGGTATACCAGATTCTTATGTGAGATAATATAATAAACTGGAACATCTAAAACCCAATCATATATAAACATCAAAGAATGTAGTTCTCTTAACCCAGTTATCATCATCACCATTCACGTGCTTAACATAATATTGTGGGGGCAGTGAGTCGTGAAATACTTAGTTAGTAGCTCCTCAAATGAGCACAAATGAGAATGCAACCAGTTATACAATGCTAAGGCTCATGACTTGATGGCCAATTACTACTGTATAATAAACATATAAAGGAGATGGTTAACTAGCACCTCTGTTTGTTGCTATGATGAAACACAGTTGTGCAAAAAAGTATCTAGCCCTCTTCAGTTTCTTCAATTACAGAAATCTAATTTCTCAAAGTTTCATTTCACACTGGCGACTATGAATTTGATACTAAAGCTGCTATTAATTACTAATATTTCTAGGTTGGAGTTTTTGGATTTTAGCTTGTGCTATTTACTAGCCAACAAGAGCATATTTTTTTTTACTTAATGTTGTTTGGCTAGTTGTTGGACTAATTTGCTAGGCTATCTAAGATCATGTTATACATTATGTATGTATGTATGTATGTATGTATGTAGGGTATCTATGCTAATGAACACCATGCATTCTTTGAAAAGCCCTCTGATTAGGTTTGATGAGTATGTTAGCTAGAAGTTGGAAGGCTTCCTTTGAAGATAGGCTTTGGAAATGCTTACTATAAGATTTTCCAAGGCTTTTTGGCTGTGGTTATGGTGTCAAAGAAGTTCTGATACTATTGAAGGTGCTGGACTAGGGCTGCCTTGATTCTGCTGACTATTTTATCTTGATAAGTGCCAGGTTGAGACTTGAGAGGAAAAATTGTAGCTTCTAGGGTTTAAGGTAGGGATCCACTTTCCTTCTTCATTCTTTGTATCAGACGCATTCAGTCATTTTATTTAGATTTGTAAACGAAAGAGCTTTATTGAGGGCTATCTTAGTTGGGAAGAACTTTCAGATTGGAAGAGGTCACATTGGTTTCTCTAGAAAGAGAGTAAAGGTTTGGGCAGAGAGAGCAAAGGGGTGTGTTGTCAACTCTGTATCCTGGCCATTGCGTACTTTCTAAGAGATTTTGGAAATTACAATCGGTTTAGCTTTCCAAATGTTTTTCCAAGGATCCTTGTAGGACTTCATTAATTGGTCATTTGGCCACCAATCATAAGGGGAGGGGTGATCTTTGTTGAGGATGACTTTCATCTCCCT